CCCCCATTTATAACAGACCCATGATATTAATGTATTCGTGAAAATTTAAAATTTAAATTTTATATACAAATTGTATAATAAAAAGAAATATTTTTTATGTGATATATGGTTTTAAAAATTATTATTTTAAAAAAAAATGAACTCCATTGACGCATTGACCACCATCATTATACAATTGTCAATATTATATCTATACAATCTGCTTATATTACTGCAAATAGCAAATGACCACATATCTATAATACTGTTATATACAATGTTTCAAGTAATCACTAATCAAATGTTATTTCACCATTATAAGCAATATTATATTATAACAGTAAAATAAATTGACCTAGGTAGTAAATAACTATGATTATTAATTATGAATTATATTTAAATATTATTACAAACATTTTTTTCGTACTTAAGTGCTAAGAAATTGTTATTTTAAAATCATTAAGATAGAGAATTAAATTATTTCTGTAATGATATTTTGTTAATATCTCATATTATTCATAATAATAATTTATTTATAATAATGGTAATATAATTTTTTACACCCAAGTAGTGAATTTAGTATTAACTTACAGAGTAGATATTATGATAAGCAATAACTTTAAAGATAGTAAAACAGGCATGTAACATGGAAATATTTGTTAATTGTTATTTATATATTATTTTGATTAAATATATAAATGGTCATCTAGATCAGTGCTTCTCAACCTGGAAGGGGGCCTTGAAATATTTATTTAATTTAAAATATTTACGGTTATTTAGTTAAAACTTATAATATTATAACCAACCATATAATGATTAACCATTATAGATAAAGTCTAATGTTAAATTTCTATTATTAAATAATAATAAAATTGTTAGGGGGGGACTTGACAGTTTTACATTAAATTTAGGRGCCCTATACATATAACAAAAAAGGTTGAGGAGCCCTGATCTAGATGATCATTTAATTTCTCTAACGTTATGTTTAATTTTGATTATATATTTGGTTTATATATTCTTCATACAACATTCAATGGAAATTGTGTAAAAWTTTTCAAAACTATTTGTTTTAATAGACTTAAATGTACWTATATTAGTTTACATCTTTCTTATAATAGACAATTGTATTGATTGATGATTCAAATAAYTGTCATGCAAAAGTCTTAAAAACAAACAATACGTCATAATAAAAATACAAACATAATGTTGCAGTTTCATTATGTGTATTGTTGTGATGCATTTATGATTGTCATGCAGTAAAACTGTTAAATAACTTTAATATTATCTACATGTTTTGTGATTCAAATTGTAAGAGTCCCAGACATGCATGATATTCAGCATAGTAATGCATACGAAAAATATTCAGAAATCAAACACCCRAGAAATATCCAAAAAAATGGTCTTACCTTTTGAGTCTAGTAAGAAGAAATCAAAAATAGAGTGCATATTGGGAAATAAACAAAAATACAAAATTGAATTAATATTAATTGTTAAACGATAACTATACCTATTTAGTTATGTTAACAATAACAATAACATTTAACAATAAATACYAACGTAAATATCATTATTTTGAGTAAACAACTATATAACAGTGGAAATAATATTTTGTTGTCAAATTTGAAATAATTAGATAATAATTTATATAACTGTTTTATAATTTACTATTTTTTTATTTGTATATACACATTTTTATTATACTAGGTGTTGTTTTCATATCTTAAAAAACAATAATATTATTTATATTTACCATAATTTACTAAATCTAACCTAAATAAATCAAGTTTCTAAAAAGATACGATTAAATAATTTTATTTTTTTATTTTAGGATTTGTGCAAATTTAGCAATATTGTGCAATATAGCTGGTTAATACTAGTATACAGATATTAAATGCAAAATATGTTAATTGCATTCCAGAAAAAACATACATTTTTTAAAAATATGTCATCATAATGAACTATTTTAGTTGCAGGTGTCGACTATTATGTGCGACTTTGTTCATTATGATAAGGTGTATTAAAGTATAATTGTATTACAGATTGAATATTTTTCAGCAAAATATAGTATGTACAAATATATACAATAGGTAAATTTAAAATATAAATTCATAACAAAGATATAAGATTTGACTTACTTTCTTTAATGGTTTGTTCGTTTGGATATGTTTTTAAATTTAAACCATCTGGAGCTCCATCTAAAAAAAAWTTTTTWTATGAGTCATAATAATCGATAAAAATAATTTTTTTATCTATTGAGAGAAAAATCAATAAAAATGATTAAAATAAGATAAACATTATCAACATGAACTGATGAGAAAACAAAATAATTTATAAAGTATAAAATGTGCAATATATAAAACAAAAATATACTATAAAAAATTAATAATGTATACTATACAAATTTAATAATGTAACTAGGTATGAAGTCGTCAATAATAATAAATAAATTTTAGATTTTGGTCAGATTATAGCCATAATTAGATACAATTTAATTTCAGAGATCAACAATTYAGGACTTTTATAAAACATCATTATCGAGACATGGGAGTTTTTAATTTTATAAACTTTGTAAACTTTTGAGTGTCACACTATTATTTAGTAGTCAGTTGTTTCCCCTGTGTATGTGTTAAACCTTAAACTTACAGCAATTGTCTTCATCCGAAAAGTCTTGACACTCGTAGTTGTTGTTGCATTTCGCCGATTTCGGGACGCACTGCCGACCGTTGCGGCAAGCAAATTCGTTCCAGTTGCAGGTYACGAACACAGAAGGATTTTGATACTGCGGGTATAATTCAGTGGTGGTAGCGATATTAGTGACGTTGGGGGTCGTTATTGTCGGAACTGCGGGAGCTGTGGRCAAAAACATTAAAAAACTAATATACACAAATTAAAAATGAATAACGATGTATGATATTCTAATTATTATGAATGAGATGCTGATGGAGAATTGTTGTTATTATTATTATTTAGTAACTGTATACAATAATGTAATAATAACAAAATGGTCTGTTTATTTAGATATTAACTACATAATATGCTATTTATTAAATCTAAATACAATTCCCATCTCAACCAGGTGTATTTAATTCCATGCAATTTTAAAAGGATTTATTTCCTGGAGAGAAGCATTTTAAATGTGATGTACTCATAAAGACATAAAGTCATAATGTAGTATTAGTTGTATGACAATACCTATACATAGTATTTATAGATAATGARCGAACGTGCGGAAAATATTACTTATTGGTGAAATTAAATTAATTTGTTATGTTAATGATAATTTGGACGATTTTTAAGTTTTATTTTTAGATTGAATGATATAGGAAACTGGACTATCCGTCTGATATTATTTTAATTTTGATTAATATTAGGTACACCTAAGTAATTGGAGTTTATATTGTAAGTCAAATATGTATGGATCATAAAAACAAATATAAACAGAAAAATAAACTTAAGTTAAGTAATACAAATATTGGATTTTACTTAAAGTTACAAAGTTTAATTCAAATTGTATTTGTTGTACGTGACTGTAAATATGAATAACGTACAAACATTTTTTTGTATCCATTTTAAAATAAAATAAAAATATGTTCATTGTTCATATATTCCGAACTTTTTAAAAACAAATTTTATTTCGTAGAGTTTTGTTTAGTTAGGTCTATTAAGAAAAAAAGTCGAACAAAAGCGGAAATTTAATTATTGTTCGTGTTCCAATAAGGCTATCCCAGATTGGACTTCATCAATATGTGTGTGTACCAAAAAATACTTTTTCCTCTATTATTCAAAACATTGTTGTCCTTCTCATTGCTCCAAGCGAGTAAATATAGAATATTATAAAGTTAAATGGAAGAAAAAACATGTTGTTGTCTTTACATTACGCAATACTTGAACACAGTTACAATATAATATAAGCCCGACGTCAAAGCCTATAGCTCTTATCGAATTCGACCAATTCGACCAGGTCCACCCAAGCTAAATGTCGTGGTCGTGTACCACAATGACGGAGACGACCGACGTGCTTCGTCAGTGGGTCGTACTTACCACAGTCCAATTCGTCACTTTGATCCTTACAATCGTTAATACGATCGCAGCGGTAATCGCTGCTCACGCAACCGCCGTCATTGCATTGAAACTCGTTGGAAAAACACACTGTGGCGACTGCAGGAGGCGGTATGTCGGCTGTTGACGACGCCTGATTAGTGTTTGCAGACGATAACGATGGTCTGTCTACATGATAGTAGTACACAAAAAGCCACAGAACAAAAATACAACAATATATCACATAACTACTAGAATACAAGCAAAAAATAATAATAACGAAAAAAGCGCTGCCCTTTAATAATGTATATAGGTATATTATAATATAGTTATAAATTATAATATATATCGGTTGTAAGTTATAAAAATTATTACTGTATTTTATATATTTTGAAAATTAAATTTAGTTTATTGTTATCCATCATAGTTTA